ATTTTCTAGGAATGAAAATAGCACTTGGAAGTCTAAGTGTACAAGTTGCACTATCAAGGGAGGTGAGCTACAAAGAGCCACTTAATAACCAAGCCTTTTCAAGTGGAAATCACTAAACTCCTTTGTGGTACTTTCAATTCCCCAAAACTTTTCACAAAAAATTTTGTATGCTTTTCACAATTTGTTTGTTTTGACACTAAACTAAGCATGAGCAAATAAAACTACACAATTCTAGACGTTTCAAGGCAGCAAAATAAAACAATTAAATATAATACATATTGTTAAGATTAATCTATGTGTCAGTGTTTCAGATAAATATAAGAAATAGGAAAAAATAAAGCATGGATGAACAAAAGAAGGATCAAACAAAGCCAAATGAGCGCTAGGCGATAACCAATATCAGACAAAGATGTGTAAAGAACAACCCAGAGTGCAACATAAGAAATTAGACATAAGGCTAAAACAAATATCAACCAAAGAGCAAAACTAGAGCAAGACAAAGTTGGCTCAACACCAAATAAACATTAGATGAAGCTCAATGTGTTGAGATCATAATGGTGAATCAACTCACATCTGGAAAACAAAGGTTTTGATGATAACAAAGTATGGATCAAAGCTGACCAAGGACATCAACAAGTCAAAAACAAAGTCAAGAAGAAAAATATGACTATTATGTTGTGTAATAGTAGTAGTTCATAAATTGTATTATTTTGTTGAGCTTATTTTTGTGTGTGTGCTTTGTGCATGAGCTAATCTTTATCTAATCTGACTAAGAGTGTGTATGATGATGAGTTAGAAACTCAAAAAGTTATTTTGGGACATAAAACAGAGTTTTTGAAAACTGACTCAAAATAATCGATTATCATTAACTTTAATCGATTATTTCAGCAACAGGTAAAAAGGATACCTTGCTACAATAATCGATTATTTGTGAAATAATCGATTATCCCAAGAATCACTCTCTGGAATAATCGATTATCCTGCAAAATAATCGATTAAATTGTTCTTAATTGATTTCCAGAAATCCTGAAGAACAAAATAATCGATTATCCTTTAAAATAATCGATTATCTGGTTCTGAAAATGTTATAAATAGTTTTCACATTTTGAAACTTCAGAACAAGAGAAGAATAAGATTGAACAGAGTGGAAAAAGGGTTTGTGAAGTCTTTGTGACCTTATTTGAGTGTTTTCTTTGTGAAACCAAGATACAGGACCGGAGTACGGGACAGACGATTCGAGCCGGATCTGAATCACATGGTCTCTACTACCTTCAGCCTTCTACCTCTACCATATGTGATCTATTGAGTCTCCTGGTTTAATTCATCGTCGCCGGGGTCATCCAAGCTTGAATAAATTAAAGAAAATGGTACCTCATCTCTCACGGTTGGTGTCCTTAGAGTGTGAGTCATGTCAATTAGGGAAGCATGTTAGAGCTTCTTTTCCTAATAGTATTAATAGTCGAGCTATGTCTCCTTTTGATGTTATTCATTCTGATGTTTGGGGTCCTAGTCGCATTCTTTCTCTTTTAGGACATAGGTATTACGTCACCTTTATTGATGATTTTTCTAGATGTACTTGGATATTTTTAATGAAAAATCGTTCTGAGTTATTCAATATTTTCCTAAGTTTCTATTCGGAGATCAAACTCAATTTGGCAAAGTAATTCGGATTTTACGAAGTGATAATGCTAAAGAATATTTTTCAGATTGCTTCAAATCATTTATGGCTTCCCATGGCATTCTACATCAATCTAGTTGC